ATGTGAGGGACTTAAACACCTAAAGCTATATCTGAACCGATCTTCACCAAATTTGATGTACTTGCTTCTAGACTGAAATCGGTCGGATGTGCCAAAAATTAGGTCATTAGGATTGATATTGGCCATTTGGTGCACAATTAACCCGAAATCGACTTTAGATATATAGGGGAACTATATCTAATTTTCAACCGATTATCTCCAACTTCAAAAAGGTTCGTCCTTAGGCCAAACAAATATAGTTTGGAAAATTTCATCTTAATCGGATAATAAATACGGACTGGCATGCATAAATTTACCACTTTGTGGTGTAGTGTATAAAATGAATTTCCGATCAACGTCGATAATTTCAGTAAAAATTTGTTACAAAATTCAAGTGTTTAAAATATTTAGGTTTTCACTAAAATATTATTTCAAAATCGTGTGGTACCATTATATGGATACCAACCTCCTTTCCTTCTGAAAATGGAAACTGATTTTTGGTATTGTATTGAGTTTATGGAAAGCATATTACGGAGTTGATTGACTCATATGTGAAATTGTAACTCAACCTTTTATTGGACTAATCTCCGTGCTGATTTTTTTTTTAAATGTGCCAAATCCCCTCTATGTGGACATAAAATTAACGTGAAATGGGGCGAACAGGTCTATCCAGTGTTTAAATCAGATTATCAAAAATTTCAACGAAAAGTAATATACAGATCATCAAAGGTAGCTACAGTTCCATGTTGTCGCCTCTTTTGCAAGTTTTCACAAGGCATAATTCCCTGTACCACCCTGCAGTTTAAGGTATAAATACTATGTAACATTACATAACTTCACCAACTTCGATCATCTTAAATATAACTCCTTGATATTTCTTCAAGTGTAAGTGTTGCACAAAGAAATTTTGATGACTTAATTTACCGATGTGCACACATATGGAAGCGTGTATAAATATGCAGTTGCTTTTATGGCGATGGAAACACAATGTAAAGAGTATTATTAATTAATACCTTCAACGGAAAATTTTAATGGCAGCAAGTGTGGTCTGATTATTATCATAATAAATAGATGGGCTTTTCTTTACAAATTGAACACATGTTGAAACGCATGATTGGAGTATTGTAACTCGCGACCTGTTATGTTTCTATGCGATCTACAAATACATTACGATTAAATGAATTGGAAATAAGATTTTTTTTAAATATTTTGCACGAAAAATTTGTTTATATTATTGTAAAAAAATAAAGGAAAATGTGTTGAAGCAAACACGTTTCTTCATATGACATATTATTCAATTTCTAACTTTAAAACAATGCACATCTTAGTAAAATAAAAATAAAATATAAATTTTTTTCGAGTTTAAAACCCTATTTTGAATGCAATTAGCTAACGTTTTTTGAATTTTAGACCCCATAAGTAAAAACTGAAACCAACTTCAGACTGCTGTCATTTCTACACCACTCGCCCGACAGCTATTGAATTATTCCATTGACAGCTCATGATTTCTATGATGATTGTATGATTTCTTTATATTTGGCTGGAAAACAATAAGTGGCTATCGTTAGAGCACTCCAGCATTTAAATGTGAATAAATCGTTTGTGTCTCGTACCATCGCTCGTTACCGTGATACTGGTAGCGTAGCCCGACGTCAAGGAATTGGACGGAAGAAAACAGCAACATCAGCAGAAATGGTTCGAAAAGTAAAGAAGCAACTTGATCGAAACTTGCAAGATTCCATTCGGCAAATATTAAAACATGAGCTCTAGGTAAAGCCATTGAAATTCCAAAATGTGCAAGAACTTACACAGCAACAGAACTCAGAAGAGCTAAAAAGTTGCTCCGCTTGGCCGAAAGTGGTGAACTACCGAATTTGGTCTTCTCCGATGAGAAAACATTCGTTGTTCAGCAGTTTGTAAACAAACACATTGATCGTGTTTACTTGCCAAAGAGGTCAGCTGAAAATGTGCACCTTCGGTTGGCCACCAGAACTCAAGCCCCGGCCATAGTGATGGTGTGGCCCGCTCGTATTAATCGACCGTGGCATCAGAATAAATGCCGAATATTATCGCGAAAATGTTCTGGATTCTTGGGCACGCAAACAATTTGGCCACAAACCTTGGACATTCCAACAGGACTCAGCACCATCCAAGCGCCATCCAAGAATGGTTTCAAAATGAGGTTCCTCGCTTCATTTCCAAGGCACAATGGCCACCAAAATCTCCGGTTACCAATCCGTTGTACTATTGTAGTATTTTGGAAAGCAAGGTTGGCCGTAAAAAATACCCAACGGTCGATAACCTCAAGCAAGCGCCTCGGGCTGCGTGTGACGGCTTCGTTGGCCGTTTGAAGGCCATAACTCGTGCCAAATGTGACCAATTCGAACAAATCTAAACTTATTCTAATATTTGGTGCTATTTCCAACATTTTTTGTTTTCATGCAATAAAATTAAAAAAAAATTAATAAAAAAATATGGCGTTTGACTTTGTTGCAGTTTGTTTATCTCACCTTGTACACTGAAGTTGATAACCTACACCACGCTGTGGTACAAGGTATTTGGTCTTTGTGCATTTGTTTGTAACAACGAAAATAAAAATTTAGGACATAGTTCATTTTGGTGATCTGCATAAAGTCACATTCTGAGTCAATTTATGCCTGACGCATTTATGGCCCAATAGAACGAAACTTCGCACAGCTCATTTAATTATCCAAAATAACGAAAATCATATGGTACCGTTATAGGAGGCTATACCTTGGCATGGACCGACATGTATAATTTGCAACACCAAACATCAAATCAAATAATGTCTCTGCCTACACTCCTCCATATGGCGTAAAAATAATCAAACAAAATTGGCCGAATTATTCTTTCCTTATATCTGTATGTGACCCAACAAATCACTAACCGCCTTGCCAAAAAAAAAGCAATTAGAAAAAAGTCGTGTGCTCCATATATTTTAATTATTAGTTAAAATACGAGTTCATTTAGATTTTTATAATTATTTGCTATTGTTATTTCTATGGATTCCAAATGGATTAATCCATATAGCCAAAATGGAAAAAACACACGAAATGTACATTCCTACCCTGCAGTGCATAACTGAAATAATATGCTATCCCTCCATTTTTAATTTCCATGTTTAAGAATTGTGTCATGGTGACCATGATAATGGTTTGTCATTGTTTTATATTCACATACGCTTTAATGTAAACAGTCGATTTTTTCCTAAAGATTTTTAAAAACTATATGCACACATATACATGCATATGTATATGTAGTTGTATTATATGCCATATATCTGGGAGGTGCAGGTGATGATGATAAGCGAGCCATTTTTATTTTCATTTAATATTATTATATAAGCCTCAGAGAACATTTAAATGAATGAATTAAAAAAAATAATAATCGATAATTTTTAAACGCTGCGTGATTAAGTGATTTTATGATATAACCGATTTAATTGTGAAAAAAAATTAAAAGTTTTTAATACAAATTTTTTGGTGTATTTGTGACGAATTTGTTAGAAAAATACACTTTTATTATGAGATTAAGAGTGATCTTGAGGAAAGTGAATATTAAGAATAGGAATAGGATTGTCTCAAAAAAATATACCATTAAAATAAATGATTATATCTTTATGCGAAAAATAACAAATTCAGTAGTTTCGGCTCAATACTTTATTTTGAAAAACCCAAACATAAATGTGAAAATGTTAACCAAATTCGGGGTGAGGTAATCATTTTATGCAAGGTTAGGACAATGATAAAATCTAGACTCTACTCAGGACTCTACCTCTTTACGATGTCTATAAATTCAGTTATATTGCAAGATCTGGTGTGTACATGGAATATATACATCCACTCCTTCCGATACCTCCCCCATTAAGGCAAGATCTGGTGTGACGATGAAATATAAAGGACCACCACCCCCCCCTCTCTCTTTCTGTTATTTCTCTCATAACCTCATTGACATAGAGTGCATATCAAGGCTGTGGAGGGTCTCAATATTAATTGCGATGAAACATATACAGTGTGAGATGAAAAAACTGCAACCAACTTCAGACTGCTGTAATTTCGAGTGTAATTTCAGTGACAGCCCATTATATTGTTTACAAGCGTACAAAAGCATTTTAGTGAGAATTTTCCAGAAAAAAAGTTATTCGTGATGGAATTCAAGCGTGATAGTGTGATTTCTTTATATTTGACTGGAAAACCACAAGTGATTATCATTAGAGCACTCCAGCACTCCGTGATACTGGTAGCGTAGCCCTGACGTCAAGGAAAACCACAAGTGATTATCATTAGAGCACTCCAGCATTTAAATGTGAATAAATCTTTTATGTCTCGTACCATCGCTCGTTACCGTGATACTGGTAGCGTAGCCCTGACGTCAAGGAAGCGGAAGTTAGGAAACATCAACATCTGCAGAAATGGTTCAAAAAGTAAAGAAACGACTTAAACGAAACCCGCGTCGCAGTGGCTCGTGAGCTGAACATATCGCAATACTCCATTTGGCAAATATTGAAAAATGAGTTCGGGGTAAAGCCATTGAAAATGGGGTTCCTCGCTTCATTTCCAGGGCAAAATGGCCACCAAAATCTCCGGATACCAATCCAAAGTGTCGATCACCTCAAGCAAACGCTTCGCCGGGAATGGGTCAAAATACCGCAGAGCAACATTCGGACATCGTGAGACGGTTTCATTGACCGTTTGATGGCCATAATTCGTGCCAAAGGTCACAAATTCAAACAAATCTAAACTTATTCTAAAATTTGATGCTATTCCCGACATTTTTTGCTTTCATTTCATAAAATTTAAAAAAAAAAAATTGAAATGTATTTATTTATGTATATACACAAAAATAGTTCTCTAAAATATACGCGACTGGTGTTTGATATGGTTCCACTAATCGACAATTGATCCGATTTAGTTTATAAGTTTCTTTTTTTCTGAAAGATAAATGTAAAATACCCCCAACACATAGTGTTGTAGGGTATAAAAATATAAAATGCAACTTACCGTTTCCTTGGGCTGAGGTATACAAGTTATGGATAAAGCTTCTGGGTTACCATAAACATTGAGTTTTTGTAAAAATCCCTGATTAAGAAAATAGGTATTTTATATTTTAAGTATGTAAATTTTAATAACGCATTAAATTTTCCTTCTTGAGAGCCAAACGATAAATGAGATTTGTATATATATTTAATTTTAAATATTTCCATAAAATTTTCTTTGAAAACAATATTTAATGTCATAATGAATCTGAAGACCATATAAAATTATGTGATAAAAATCAGGAAAACTAATGTTTCCTTATTATCGTCATGTAGCAAAATTTCTGGAAAAACTAACTACAGCTGTTCAAAACACATCCCTTGCCAAATGCACCAAAAACAAAGAGTGGAAAAATATGAATTAATCATTTCTGTTATTTTGACACATCATCGGTAGCATCAGTAAGAAAACTGTCAACAAAATTAAATAAATGACAATGTTCTGCCACTTAACAAAAGAAAACAGTATAGCTGCCAACAACAATGTCAACACAAACATGAGAATATCAGCAACTGACATAAGAACAGCAGCAGCAGAACAACATCTAGGGAACAACGATGCCCGTACTGTAACAACTCTAAGTCAAAATATTGTAGAACGTCAAGTCTGCAACATCCACCTACGCAAACAAACCCATCTGAAACATTGTCATTTGCACCCCAAAGGTATGCATTTTTCACAAGCCATCGTCGTCGTCATCATCATCGTCATAATCGTGGTAAATCAGAACGTAGTATATGGGGAACGCTATTTCATCCTAACTGGAGTTCTACCACAGGCTTCTATTCGTTTCACAAAGAAAGCAGGAAAATGCAACCAGTGCAACAGTATTCGTTTGCCTTCAACACTGTACAACAAAACGTTACCATTTGAGGAAAAATTCTGCTTTTTAAAACTTCTATGCGAAAAAGTCAATATCATAGAAGTAAATTATTTAAGGACTACATTCTAAAAAAATAATGGAATTAAAAGAGCACATATGTTAATGATTAAATAAAACAAGTTAAAAAGTATAAGTAGGTATTGCCGAGAGATTTATATATATTTTGACTTATGTTTTGATTACTCTATAAAGTAGGTTCCGAAGGAATGGTGCAAGTTTCCGACTACATCGACTACTTCTTTTATATGAGATATGTGATAATTTTGATGAAATATTGAAATGTGCGTGAGTGACCGATGTATTCCATTTTCACATTTCAATATTGGTATGGGCAAAATTACAAGAAAATCGAACATTTATATCCATTTTTATGCCATCTCATAAATTCCATATTCATCTCAGGTTTCTGGTTGAGAAAAATATTTAGATATGGCAAGTTGTAAAGAATCGCTGTCTTGTTTAGCAATTATGACAGGTAAATGTATTGAAAATTGTGAACTTTTGCGGGTGTGTAACAAGAGGGGGTTCGCAGATATATATCATCTTCACAACCGATCTTGAGTTAGCAAAAATGTTTGTTTGAAATTTGAAGAGAGTTAGATGATTATTTCGCTTTCTTTGAGCGTTTTGTTTTTCAAAATCTTGAACCCTATGTGGGGGAGGTACTATAAGAAGTGTTCCGATCTCTCTACCATATTTGTACCAAATATTGTGTTGATAGAAATATTGAGAATCGGATGTTAAATTCGCGTTTTATGAGTTTCATGGATATTCAAAATTTTGACCCTTTGTGGGGGAGGTACCACAAGGAGTTGACCGACAAGTCCCATATTTACAGCATAACATACGTGTAGAAGTAATGGTATATGTGAAATATGAAGAGAACCGGATACTAACTTCGGATTTTATAATAGTTTTGGTTATTCAAAATTTTGACCCTTTGTGGGGGAGATACCAGAAGGAATGGTCCTATCTCTACCATCGTTACAACAGATCTTGTGTTGATAAAAATATTGAGATGTGCCAATTTTGAATGGAATCGGATGTTAACTACGTGTTTTATGATCTTCATGAATATTCAAAAAGTTGACCTTTTGTGGGGGAGGTACTAGAACGAGTGGACCAATCTCTACAATCTTTATAACAGATCTGATGTTGATAGAAATATGTATATGTGGAAAATCTGAATGGAATTCGATGTTAAGTTCGCGTTTTAAGAGCTTCATGGATATTCAAAATTATGACCCTTTGTGGGGGAGGTACCAGAAGAAATGATCCGATCTCTACCATCTTTATCTTCTCTTGTGTTTATAGAAATATTGAGATGTGCCAAATCTAACTGGGATCGGATGTTAACTTCATGTTTCATGAGCTTCATGGATATTCAAAATTTTGTGATCACATTCTATAAGAGTTATAATTATTCAAAATGTTGACCCTTTGCGGGGGGAGGTACTTGATGGAGTGGACCGATATTGTCCATTTTCTCATCTGCAAATATTATGATTTACAGTAAAATATTTTTTTTTGAAAATTTCGACCTTTATGGGGGAGGCACCAAAGGGAGTTGGCCGATCTTTTCCACCTCCGAACTCCATCTAAGTTTGACAAAAATATTACGATGTACCAAGTTTGGATCAAATCGGATACTCCCTTCGAGAGTTATCGAGCGCAACAGCCAGCCAGACAGACAAACAGACGCACGGACGGACATCGCTAGATCGAATCCAAATGTCCTGAAACGGATTTGGTCCAAAGAGACCTAGGGTCCAAAACCGTTATTTCGATTAGCCATATGTCTAGGGTATAATGACAATATAGAAATCATATTAAACCAAAATTATTTTACTGCCTTATTAAAAATAATTAATTTTTCCAATGAAATATATTGTAATTTTTACAAAATAAGTTTTGTATTTTCTACTATTCGACACAAGGAAAAACCAACTTCAAATGCACACCGTCTTGTTGCGTAGTGTAATCTATAAGCAAACCATTAGCCGAAGTTATGCTTGTCAAGCTAAACATTAACTATAGCTATGTATGTGTCAACATGTTTCGCTTTTCATTTTGTTGTTGTTGTTGTCTTTTTGTGTCATGTTTTTACTGCAACTGTGACAAAAACACAAAAATGCTGAACATGCGCTCTCTCTTCTTCTACTGAATGTTTTGGATGAGTGAATATGATATAAAAGGATCTGTAGTGGTGGCATCAATGCCATCTATGACGATGATGATGATGCTGGAGTTTCCATTGCTAAACCAAGAACTTTGTTTGTGGTGTTATTCTAACGCTCCATTTCTTGTTTCTCATCATGGCATTTGAGAAATGTTGTAACCATGTATTGCACAAAAACTGCGTTTTATTTTCAGGCATTGAGTTAAAATTGTTACCCCTTTAACAGAAAATAGCTAAAATGTATTGAGGTAACAAATATTTCTAAGAAACAAAGAGCAAATTATTGAAACAATTTGTTAGGGAATGAAATTTATTCAATAATTTGAATCTGAGACCCAAAGACCCAAAGTGATATACATACACTTCCTTATTCGGTTCATTTTCGAGTCCATAACTTTACCTTTGAATTGCAATTAAAACCAGTAAAGAAAGTCCTAAAGTCGGGCGGGGCCGATTTTATGATACCCTACACTACTTTGCTAATTTAGTTGAGCTCCACTTAATAATTAAAAGTTTTTATGGGAGAATTCAATCATACACGCTATGATTATAATTATATTTTAAAATTCAAAGGACTAAATATGCCGAAGCATTTGTATCTTTTAAATTCGGACTTGTATTGTCCATTTCAAATCTGAACCGATCTCGATAAAATTTGGCAAAGATATTTCTGAGCTGTATTTGATATATTTCCCTGAATATCGTTGTTACGGAGTGCATATTACGGCTGTGGGTAACAAATACAATAAATCGGATGAACAATATATATAGGAGCTATAAATATATCTGAACCGATCTTCACCAAATTGGCATACTACCTTCTAGACTAAATTCGGTCGTATGTGCCAAATTCCATCCCATTTGGACAAATATTAGACGTTTGGTGCACAATAAATGGTAAATCGGACGAAGTTATATATGGGAGCTATATCCAAATATATATAAATATATCTGAACCGATCTTCACCAAATTTGGCATACTACCTTCTAGACTAAATTCGGTCGTATGTGCCAAATTCCATCCCATTTGGAAAAATATTAGACGTTTGGTGCACAATAAATGGTAAATCGGACGAAGTTATATATGGGAGCTATATCCAAATCTGAACCGATCTCGACAAAAAATAAAAAAGGTATTTCTGAGCTGCATTTGATATATTTCCCCAAATATTGTTGTTACAGAGTGCATATTACGGCTGCGGAGGACAAAAATAACAAATCGGATGAACAATATATATGGCAGCTATAGCTATATCTGAACCGATTTCGATCAAATTTGACATACTTATTTTCAGGCCTAATTTGGTTGTATGTGCAAAATTTCATACAATTCGGGCTGATATTACACGTTTGGTGCACAATAAAAGGCAAATCGGACGAAGATATATATGAGAGCTATATCTAAATTTTTACCGATTATCTCCAATTTCAATAGGGTTCGTCCTTGGGCCAAACAAATGTTGTTTGCAAAGTTTCATCTCAATCGGATAATAAATGCGACTTGCATTTTGTTCACAAGAATACATGGACAGACGGACGGACTGACATGCATAAATCAACTCAGAAAGTGATTCTATGCAGATCATCAAAAGGAACTATGGGTCTATCTCGTTTCCTTTTGCCTGTTACAAACAAATGCACAAAGACATAATACCCTGACCACCTTGTGGTGTAGGGTATAAAAACTACACAAAATTTTAATTGAGTATACGATTGTTATGGGGAAGTATGTTGCTACCTCGAATTCTTTAATAGCAACAGAAATTCCACTTAACTTCAAAAGATTGCAGTTTCCTGCACACTTGGCATTTGCTATGAAATTAATAAATCCGAAGGGCAAGCTCTTCGTATATGCGGACTAAATTTGGCATGTTCCTGCTTTTCTCGTGGATAGCTTTGTTTGTTTACGCATTAAAGTCTTACAATAATTACGTTTTTTTTAAATTCTTGAATTTCTTTTATTATTTTTTTTAGCCACAA